AAGTATTTTCCGAAATTCATTCGGAAAATTGCCATCCAGTCAGAAATACTGATCTACAGTACTTCATGATTCGATCCAAATTCCACTAATATTTCTACGTCAAGACCTGTCATTATAATAAGTCTTCAAACACTTAAAAAGTAAGTATATTACCTAAATCAGTTCCATATTTGAGACCAACTTGAGGCACCCAGCCTTTACTGCGGTAGTAATGATAGGCCACATAGTTTCTCACAAAATCCACATTTCTTCGGCAAAATTCTGACCACATAGATGACAGCGAGAGCTTCTAAAAAGAACACACTTGTGAACGGTACCTAATACGAAAGGTCTGGAATATTATTTCATGCCGCGGGATTTCGATCATTGTCCTGTCCCCCGCTTTTCATAAAATAAACGCCCGTGAGATGTGACAGGGTTCGTAATCTCCAAGACCAAAAAAATTCAAAGACTTTCAAAGATTTTTGCTGCCTACTTTCAAAGACTTTTCAAAGCCCTTTGAGAGCAATCAGCTGTTGAAAAATTGCAAGAGTAAAAGCAACATTTTTACCCAATAATTAGTCCTGTCAAATCACAACCTAAAATGCGCCTTTTCGTCCATATTTGCGAAAATCTTGCTTCAATCAATCTATTTTATTAGCTAGGAAATCGTATAATCAAATGCTCACTAAAGAATTTAAAGACTTTTAAAGACTTTCTTCGCTTTTTCACACAATTCAAAGACTTTTCAAAGACCTTAAAGACCTGCATTGAAATTTAAAGACTTTCAAGGATTTCAAAGACCGCTACGAACCCTGTGTGAAGACTGACCTGTTCAGCATGAGCGATCGAGAGACAACCAAGACCAAAGCTTAGGAAAAACGCTTCTTCGAGAGTGAGTTGAAGAAACTCGTATATCTTGTAGGGATCAGGTTTCACAGGTTTCAAATCCTAGAAGAGGGGAGAATATTCAATTTGATACGAAAGAATTAATAAAACATTAATTAAAGTTGGGGATTCAGCGTCGGTTCCATTTGTAAAATGTTCAATATACTCGTCAGCTGGTCTGAAATAGATTGGAAACAATTCAAACGGTTTTAGAATATGGTAACCTATTCCGAAACTGATTTGGTAAAATGTAGGTTCTTATTAGCGGGTTTCACCGTATTGAAAGGCTTCAAAAACGAGCATTCCGTGTAATTTATCCACGACAAGATTGCGAACATGTATTGAAAGTGAACAAGTTGACAACAGAAGAACAAAGAAAACAGCACTCAGTCTGGTGGTCGACTGTTTGATATGGCCGAAGAAGATTATAAGCTTTAATCATAATTTGCTTCCTTGTAGCAGCTTAAGTGCGCAGCAACAATCATTGCAGTATCCGTCAGGTACAACTAAAAATCTTGCTAGAAATGTCGCACTCTGCTTCGTCATAATTGTTGCAACCAGGGCGCTTATATAATTATATAAGCGCCCTGGTTGCAACAGTTCTCTTTACCGTTTCACTGGACTCTTTGTTGACCAGTTCACGAAGAACATCATCTATCCTCACATCATCATCATCGTCCACCTCAATTCGCTCATTATCATCGTCATTGTCCACCTCAGATCCCTCGTCATCATCCTTATTATCCCCATCTGTCCCCACATCAGCATCCTCTTCAGATGATTGTTCTTCTTGCGAAGAAACCACGGGATCTTTTTCTTCGGGAAAGTGATGAAGTTTGCTCCATTTTAAATGCTGAGAATATCTAGTATAAAGATGAAAGGTGGTTTTGTGCGAAATGTAATAAACAATCTAAATTTTAACCCATCGATTGCCACTTGATGCTCTCCGCTTGATGTGTAAAATCGTTAAATTAATTGGTTAATTACAGAAAATTAGATTTTGTTGGCCAAAGGTTTTTCAACAATTAGCCTTTCTCACGCCGCCATTTTTGGGTGGCTTTTTGCTTTTCACATTGTATTAATTTTTCTGCATTGATTAACGGGAATTAGATGATTTTTTCTCTGCTGGTGTTATGTACTACTGGTGAATATGATGTTTGTGATGTTACTCTGAGTGTATAGCCACACTGGGCAGGCTGAAAAGTTAGCCTGACCACGGTGGGAATTGGATGCCAAAAATGGCGGATATTCGTCATCGTGAGAAAGGCTATTATTGATAAATTTTGTATTCTAGCTGTTCTGCACCTCTCCTTTCTGCACTTCCGAAATTTTGATTGACGAATTCGTCTCTCGCGTGGTGGCACTAAAAATCAACAAGAAACAACACACAATAAATGTTAACAGGTTAGTCTATTAAAACTAAAAATCAGCCAGAATCATTCTCACATCTTCTCAGTCTATCGGAGCTCGAGAATGCAAGTTGTGAAATATTGGATATCTTGTCATATTCTGGTTTACTTCTTGAGAGAATACCCTTGCCAAAAAAACCCTACGAAACAAAATTAAGGATCATTGAAACTAGTTATTGAAACTAGCGAGTTAAATGTAATTTGTGCATTCTCCAATGCGAGTTAGGCGTTAGCGTTATCAATTTTTCGTCTTCAGATTTGGCAGAAATGGAAAAAATCGAAATCTTCATACTCAAATTAGTCTGTACCGAAAATTTCGTGAAACAGAAATTCCATACAAATCTAAATTCCACTACAAATCTGAAAACAAAATTTTCAAAATGCCGTAACTCGTGCCCTGAAAGTCCAAACATCCTGAACTTTTCGGTATAGAGCATGACGATTTCAATTCTGAGGTCCATTTTTGGCAAAGATCTGTAGATAGCGAGATGATTCAGATGAAAAATTGATGACATCAACTCGGTCTATTTGGCAGACCAGTTAATGCTGGTTTAATTTGATCATAGCTATTGCAGCCCATTCGATCTAAATGCCGGCCTATCAACCTCCCAGGTCGGCAATTTTTTGCCGACCTTAATTCAGCCAAAGTAAGAATTTTTTTTTGGTGCTGATAGCTGTTAAAAAGTCAGCGATTATAGAATTCGATTCTCTTCGGTGTAAGGTTTAAAAATTGACGAGTATTCTATATATAATTTAGGTAAGACTCTAAAAGAAAAGCCTTCGTGAAAAGCCGTCAATGATTCGTAAATACGTGATTACTACTACTCGTGCTCCGACCAAGACAGGGAAACAGATTTTAAAAAATGCCGAGACGTGCCGACCTAGGCAGGGGCGCACATTCGAAAAACATTTGGGGGGGGTGTCCTATGTTCTGGGACCGACTTTTGTAGTATTTGTGTTTGGTAAAAAAAGCCAACTATTTAAAGCGCATAGACGGTATGACGGGGATAGTATTCCAAGAGTTTAAATAAACGTTCAGTTTTTCAGAACTTTTGCAGTGGTCTAAACTTTCGGGGGGGGGGGGGCAAAATTTTTATGGACTTCGAGTGCGAGCGCCCTAGGCGCGAGGAAAATTTTGAATTTCTAGATTCATTAGAACGCTATTTCACGTATTTTAGGACGAGGTTTGAAGAAAGTTACAACCACAAAAAGGCATTTTAAGTCGCCTAATGTTGTTAGATCGAAAAAATGTTTATGTAAAACATAGTATTGTATACGCAAATACAACGGCAAAATACTGTAGCATCATGTCTTCGTTTTTGTAGAAGTCGGTCATGAGTGTTGCTTTGAGCGCAAGTTCAAGTTCAAATGTGCTTTAAAGCAACCATAGGCATTTTTTACTGGAGTTAGGATTCTAGGTAGGGAAGACTTCAACTTTTATTGGCAAACAGAAGAGATGGGTATCATTATTCACATATCGTATGCCCACGCCAATTTCTGCCCGGATTTCAGCTTTCCACAAGGGCAGTCCTTATGCCCATTGCAGAGCCCCCGAGCCCCCATCTCGGCTACGCCGCTGATTTACTTCTGCCTTCCAAAGTTTCAGCTTTTACGACAAGACTAACAATGCACATTTTAACTGCACCGCGGGGGCTTGAGGTAATCGGATCGCATTACGTTGGTTGAACTGTTGCAACACGGAAGTTGATTATTTGCTCTCTTGGTTTGTGTCAGTGAACTCTAATTTGTGTATGTCTAATTCGTTTTTCTTTATCTAATTCGTTTTTCTTATGTTTATGCAACTTCCATATCCAGAATGTCCACCTATTACTTTTTTCGACACAAAATGATAATATCTTTCAGATTTTAGCCGGACCGACTTTTTCGTCCCATTCAGGTTTTGGGACAGACTTTTTAGATATATTTCACAAAACATAGGTGTCACACCCCCCCCCCCCACACCCACACCCCCCTAATGTGTGCCCCTGGACCTAGGTCAGATTTAGGTCCACATTTTTTTGCCGACCTCAATTTTGACGGTTTTCGAGGGCTGTATTGTCAACCATCATGAATTAGTGTGGATCTATCTTGTGTTTTATTGAGCTTTATGCAGATCACGTCTCTACTGAGTGTCGATTTTATATATTTATATCAACAAATATTAGTATTACATTGGCATTATGATCACAACAGTTACGACTGAAACCTTTATTTTTGCTTCAAAACTTACCAAATTTAACAATTTAAAATCTGATAAGAAATATGACTACACCCTAGCTGTGAAGCGTTGTACATTTATACGACTCAGTCACTCACCATTTTGTACAAAAATGTAAGATCCCCAATGTTTTCTACAGCAACACAATTATCTCTTAAGAAACCTTGATAATAATACCACTTATTCTCATCCCTATTCTTCTGTTGTGGCACTGGAAATGGATATTCTAGTCTCGTAAACCGACGACGCTTGCGACGTGGTTTTATCAACTCCTTTGAATCGGCCATCTTGTTTTTTCCAAACGTGCTCTAGGCTTTCCGGTACGTCATGTTATCTGAAACATAGTGGGACGATTACCGTCGTTTGCGCCTAAGTGTGAACAGTGGTATATAAAAAGGATCGTCTTTGCTCACGTGACATTTTCGTGTTTGTCACGTGCATTTGACAGATTTTAAACTTATCAGCCAATAATAACTCTCCCACGCCGGTTGACTCTCTCTAATACTTTAAAATCAACAATTTACGCATGTCCGAATGGACTGGTTTAATTGCAAAGATTTTTAATTAATTAAAATTTACAAATTAAATATGGAAAGTATGTATAGCCAATTATCATTAAAATGTGTGTTCAGGGCCGTAGCGAGGGGGGTATTAGGGCTAATCCCCAACTTTTGTAGAATTAACATATTCGGAAAATCGGGTCGGCCATTCGGAAAATTACGGCAATTATAGCATAACAAAATTTTAGTTGTTTAATTAAACAGAGAAAATATTATAAAATGGTATTGTCAGTATAAACCATTGGTATAAACTGATTTACGAAATCACGGCATTTACATGGATAACGTAAAAAATCGTAAATCGGTAAATGTTTTTCGGTTTATTGCTTCTCAGGGCCGTAACAGGAGGGGGGAGGGAGGGGACTGGGGGCAGCAGCCCTTACAATAATTTGCTGATAATCATTCGTTTTTCAAAATCATGCACACCTTTATCATTTAGATAATATACCTTTAAAATACTGACAATAGACTAGAGGTGTGCATCGGATCGGATTGGACGTTTATAATCCGACAATTGCCGGATGTTTAAAATCCGATCCGATCCGAAATTGTCTAATCCCAATTCGTCCCGATCCGAGTTTTGAAAAAGAATTCCAATCCGATCCGATCCGAAGAATTCTTTAATAAAATAAATTTCTCATTCAAGTTGAAATATTTAACCAAATAAATATAAAAGCAAGAAATACATGTCAAGAAGCTGACAAAGTGACGTCCAACTCGAACCGACTTGACCAGTATCCCAAAGGTCGCGGGTTCGACTCCCACCGTGGCCAAGCAAACTTTTCAGCTTCACAAATATCATACTAAAACTCTGTTTTCTGACCATCAGAATTTTGTCAAAACTTCCCCAAAGAGTCCAGGAAATGGCATTTCAGAGAATCCAAATTTAAAAATTTCCTCGGGCCTTCGGCCCTCCTTCCCAGCCCCGAACAAAAAAGGGCTTCCTATGGCACTGCATGCTTCTGTAATATGTCTTTGCGTAAACTATGTGTATTCTTGTTTGTAAATTGCATATAGCATTCCGGATAGCAAACACCTTCGTGGCTTCGTATGCCATGAAATATTCGGAAATTTTTTTCGTCATTCGGAAATTTTTTGCCTACCCCCCCCCCCCCAACTATACATGCTAGCTACGGCCCTGTGTGTGTTGCTTCTAATAATTAGCTGCAACGATCTGTCAGGATCGGAGGCGAATCGTGTCTAGAAAGAAAGTATAATTGTGGAGATAACATGACATTTTAGACTGCAGAAAATTGCACAAAAAGGACATGTGTGACAAATAAACGGTATCCTTTTGAAACGTTTTTGGCCCTAGGCCTAGATAAAGATATTCTCCCTCGTAGACGTTCTTATAGCTCTAAGAACGAGGGTCAGACTAGGATAAAGATTTTTTTACTTTGGGTAAAGTGTTTTTTTTTTACAGAATTAGCCAGAACTGTTTTTAATCTCTGTCAACTCATAATTCATCTTTGCCGTGTGAAGTGTCCAAATCATCGTCATCTTCTTCGTCGAGAACAGGGCCGTGTGGAGCATCTATACCACGACCTAGGGTTTTCAAATTTTCTCGCGGGAGATTTTTAATTTGTTCTTCAGTGATTTTGCCATCAATGTCGACTTCGAATACTTTGGTAAAAAGTTCCTTAGCTTTTTGGAGCGACTAGAAAATGAAGAAATACAGGGTATAGCTTTATCAGTTCTAAACTGTTCTTCCTAGGGGTCCAGTAAGGATAATTTCTAATTGACCCAGTGTTACTTCAGGAGGAAACACGAACTAAACTAACTTTATTTATACTGGATAGCTCTATCAGTTCTAAACTGTTCTTCCTAGAGGTCCTGTAAGGATCGTCTCTCATTGATTCAGTGTTACTACAGGAGGAAATCTAAACTAAACTAACTCTATTTATACTGGATAGCTCTGTCAGTTCTAAACTGTTCTTCCTAGAGGTCCAGTAAGGATCATCTCTTACTGATCCAGTGTCACTACAGGTGGAAACCTAAACTAAACTAACTTTATTTATACTGACTAGCTATATCAGTTCTAAACTTTTCTCCTTTGAGGACCAGGGGGCAGTAAGGCCTATATGCCGAAAAAAGTCCCAAATACCCACAGAATAATTAATAGTGTCATTCTAAAAATCGTAAATATAGTTTTCTTTGGGGGCAGTTGCATCCCCCCCCCCCCCCCC